GGGCTTAGGGTTTAAGATGTAAGGTTTTAGGGTTTAGGGTTGAAGGCTTAGGGTTTAGGGTTGAGGGCTTATGTTTTAGGGTTTAGGGTTGAGGGCTTAGGGTTTTAGGGTTCAGGGCTTAGAGCTTGATTTTTCAATAGACCGGAGGCCTTACCTTATGTAGGGATTCCTAGCAAGGATTCAGCCAGAGCTCCCACTACGCCTGCCTGTTAAAACTGCTAACAGGAGTCTGTACTCCCTACTAGAGTTCACCCTAAACCCTAAACCCTAAACTTCATAACTGTGGCGTTTTACAGGGAAGCTGCGCACACCTGCTTGTCGAGTTTCTTGAATATGAAGTAAGCTTCATACGGTTCATCGGCTTCTTTGTTGAGGCTGGGTCGGTGAGCAGAAAGTGCCATAGGAAGCTATAACTTGTCGACTTAACTCACCAGGCCGTCACAAAAACCTCATCATATATACGGTTCCCAAGCAAGAGCCCAACAAGAGCTCCCAATAAACATACCTGGCAAAACTGCTAACAAGTGTCTGCAAGGAGTATTACGATTCATAGCTCAAGCTTTTTACACCGATGGAAGAGTCTTAGATCTTCATCGGTACGGTAAAGTCAGTGTAGAAAAGGTCACCTAAAAGAGCTCAAGAAACAAGAGTCCACAGCGCCCACGTCCCACAGGTTTAGGGTTGGGGGCTTCAGGGTTTGGGGGTCTTGCGGATTCAGGTTTTGAGGGTCAACGAGGTTTCGGGCGCTAGAAATAGGGATTCGGGGTTTTAAGCTTTAGGGTTTCACCGTTTAAATGTGAATTGGAAAATTTCCCGACAGGTGACTCAAAGGATTCAAACCTATATGTTTTGAAGTACCTCGCTGCATGAAAGTCTTTCCGGGCAGGGAAGCAGGCATGCATGCTGTAGATCAAAGTCCCAAACTCTAAACCCTAAACCCAGATGAGGCATAGGGGTACTCGTCAGCCTTGCATTCACAGCGCAGTTTCAAAGTGGCATGTGTCTAGCTGCCTCCTTCGCGTAGTTGCTTCCCATGGGTCCCCCGAGGGTTCACCTACATACTACCCCTTTACCAAGTTTCGCCCTTCTCCTCCCTTAATTAAAGTCAGTTAGGGATAGTTAAGATAGAGGTTTAATTAAGAGGGAAACGAAACACCACAAATCCTAAACCCTAAACCAGCGGAAGCTTCAAGCAGCACCTCCCGTGCTCCAGCAGATTCGTTCCTTTAAGCTCCCCTGACGTTCTCAACATAGGGGGCTTACTGCCCTGGCAGTTTCTACCGTCTAGGACCCAGTGGGCCCTCACAAGCACCCCTCAGCAATTTGACTTGGGGCTTAAACCCTAAACCCTAACCCTCAGCAATTTGACTTGGGGCTTAAACCCTAAACCCTAAACCCTAACCCTCAGCAATTTGACTTGGGGCTTCCGGCTCGCAAGCCCTAAATACCTTAAACCCCTAAGCCCGAAACCCTCCTTGAGTTCTGTTGCGTCCAGGAAAGCTAGGGTGCCTCGGATAACCCTTGAACTGCAGGCCCCCCTTAGAGCTGGAATAAAAATCACTAATTTTCAATGGTGCCTTAGGGTGATACCATAATATAAATGACACATAATTCCTAAGGAGACTACTGTGAAGAATCCGGAAAACGACTTGGAACTGAGTCCAATTATACAAGTCCCCCAAGCCCACGAGATGTGGTTCTGATCTGGTCACGAGGACCAGCAAAACTGGTTTATACTTATCAAAACCTTCAATAAACTTCATATAGCCCCCTAAACCCGAAACCCTAAACCCATGTAGCCCGTCTTTCCTCTTCCACGTAACTCTCCATCACCTGAAGAAACCTCAACCCTCAACCCCAAGGACAAGGTAGGGTTTAGGGTTGAGGCTTCAGGGTGTAGGGCTTTGGGTGCCAGCAGGGCGGCCTATGACCACAGCTTCCTTGGGGTCCATCTCAAAAGGGCCCGGCATGTGCCTTGAGCTTCGAGGTTTACGAGGCCTGTGCCTTTGGTTGAGTTTTGGATGCTACCTGAACCCCAAAAGTAGGTAAAATAATGGCCCCAAACCCCTTAAAATAGCCCAAAGGCAATTATTCTACATACTTTTAGGGTTCAGGTGGTTGCTAATACTGATGCCTGAATTACACTCTATGATAGTCTCCGCGCTCACCCTGCACATGGCCTGCCTGAAGCACCAATAGCATTAGGGAATTTAGGGCTTATGTTTCAGGTCGAGGCCCGGAAAAAATCCTATACTCAAGGGATAGGGCACATGCTCAAGTTGCGCAATGGTTTCCTGTCAAGTGCACATAGGTTCCTTATCGGGAACAAGATTCAGGGTTTAGGGTTTGAGGGTCCCCCCAAACAGGGATCCCAGCGTTCTGTGGGAACGCCTGGGAATTTCGGAGGAAACGCTTGGGAATCCGTTGAGAAACGCCCTTGGCTCGGTAAATCCAACCTAAACCATAAACCATAGGCCCTAAACCCCAAAGCCTAAGCCCAAGCCCTAAATGCTAAACCCCAGACCCTAAGCCCCAAACCCTTGCCCCATCATAGAAGGGGGAGCCAAGCCCATGAATTCAGCTGGGAGCTATGGCAATCTCAACCCTTAATCCCAAACGTAAGGAGTACCATTGCTTCGGTTTTAGGGTTTAAGGTGGGTCCCACACTTCAGGGATGAAATTTTGCATCAAAGGAGATTTGCCCAATTAGTGCATTGCCCGGTGATCCCCAATGTCGAACCACAACTCCTGTTCATTGATAGACAAGCTCCTTCATGGCCCTGTATGCTTGAGCCCTGGGAACTATGGTACTACAGTATGCTGAGCGTCATGCAAGATGTTGTCGATTGACCGTATTGGAGTCCATCAAAGACTAAGCCCCTATACAGTGGCTGAACTTCTCCGAGACCTCCTTAAGCGTTAGGGCGCTAGGATTAATGATTGGAAATCAGAATCCAATCTTCCTTCTCAAGGCACGAGCACATCCAACTGTGACCCAGGTCTTCGGGGGTGGTACAAGCCTTCCTCCCTTCTCTTCATCATGCACCGCTTAGGGCCCCCAAGCCACAGTTGTTGATAAAACCTGCATGTTCCTTAAACACTTAAAGCCTTAAATCCTAGCCCTAAAGCCTAAACGGGAAGGTGACACCTCTCACGCTCCAACAAGGTGCGGCAGGCCAAAGAAGTCAGCCGCGGAGGCAGGGTCTGGGCCTGGGAAACAATTGGTTAGGGTTTAGGGTTTGGGGCCTAGGTTTTAGGGTCTAGGGCTTATTGGTTTCGGGTTTAGGATATAAGGTTTAGAGTTTCTCAAAACTGCGGGCTTCGGGATAATTATGTGGGTGCGTGTCCTTTTGGGGGATGCTGTATGGCTTAGTTTCATTTTGACAGTAGAACGTCAGTGTCATCTGCTATCAGTACTTGAGACTACTCATGACCTGCATGACAGCACAATGCATAGGTCTAGGGTTTAGGGTTATGCAGACCAAAGATGGATCGCTGGCGACGTGAGACCAAACAGATCGAAGCATTGGTGATCATATTGGGGTTGTGCAGGGACTGAAGGAACTAAGATTAGGTTACCATCGTGGAGAAGTAAATGGACGACAACATTGGAAACACACCTGCAGTTTGCCGCAAGCAGGGTGGAGATAGATTTCCAACACACAACATGTACCGAGAGAGAAAAAAGACAGCCAGTCCCGCAAGAGAAGCACAGCTTAGGCGTACACCCCAAAGGTTCATGAAACTCTAAAGGATCACGTCTCATCCCTGTATTCTTCGCATGCACGCTCCTACATACGCCCTACATGACCTGCACGATCCCCAGATAGCCTACAATACCTCCATAACCCAACAGAATCCTCCTCCGTGTTTTCATATGATTCCTATATATGTGAACCCAGGACCACAACATTGGTAAGCATCGCCTTAAGCCCTACTCTCCCCAGCTTCCATGTCATTTTCCGTTTTCTTTCCCATTTCATTGTCCATTATTCAGATACTATCCCTAGATACTTCCTACATAAATACTTGCATTTGCCCAGACAGGGCCAATACATCCACTCCCCTTTTTGAGAAACCTTCAGCCCCCTATGCCAAGCCCCAGGTCCGTTTAGGGCTTACAACTGAAGCCCTAGTGTTAAGGGTTTAATCTAAAAAGTGGCCGCACGCACTTCTTAGCTTTCGCTCTTGGTGCGATCGCGTTTCTTTCTAACTCGTGGATTTGGATGTTCCTTCAGAGAGTTTCTTTCCTGCTTTCAACGAAAACATAGAAACTACGTTAGCTTTGGGCCATGTGAGATGTCCGAAAATCAAGGGTGCCAGCACGTGTCGCGTGCTTCTTAGCTTTCGCGCATGACTTGCCGTGATCGCGTTTCTGACTTAAGGTCTAAGCATCCAAGTGTCACACTAGGCATCCAAACCAGCTGATGTAGGCACTATTGAAAAACCTTGGGACCCAAAGTACCCTAAGCCCTAAATCCTAAATAGTAGTTTCCATTTTCTTTTCCATTATCCCTATATATCCCCAATATACCCCATAATATTACCCTAATTGGTGATATCCTTATTATTTCTAGAATTAGATCCCTAGGTTGCCACTTGCTTTCGGGTTGAAGATGTAGGGAACACCAATGCTTCAGGCAAGAAAAGGGGAAGAAGATAAATGGAACCTAAACCCTAAACCCTGAATCCTAAAACCTCAAACCCGAGGACGAAAAGGGGAATCCCTAAACGCTAAACCCTAAACTCTAAACCCTAAACGCTAAACCCTAAACCCCAAACCCTAAACCCTAAACCCTAAACCCCAAACCCTAAACCATGGCAGAGCAGCTCATGGCACCCAGCAGGCCAGCAGCACCCGCCTGGAGCAGTAGTTTGTCATAGGGTTTAGGGTTTTAGGGTTTAGTGTTTAGGGTTTAGTGTTTAGGGTTCAGGGTTTAGTAACAAGGTTTAAGGTTGAGGGTTTAGGGTTTTAGGGATCATGAAATTCTTCAGCCAATATGTAAGGTAACGTTCAGGTTACGGGTTTAGGGCTTAAGGCTTAGGTTATATGGGCGGGTATTCTAAAGGGGGTTATATACGGGTTATGAAGGGCATAAGTAGGGATTACAGGGATTTTTAAAGGACTGGAGCGGAAGGTGGCACCGTGTATGCCTAGCTTGTGCCCTAGACATCCCCTTAGAACGCAGCGTTTCGTGGGGCTTAGGGTTTAGGGGTAGGGCTTGTGGTGTTGAGGGCCTGAGACGGAGATTCAGGATTCGAACTAGGTGTAACTGAAGATCCAGACAGTGGTGCGGGCAAATCAAGTCTCCGGAGTTAGTTCCGCAAGTTGTTGTAGAAATCCGCCTTGCTTTCATTGGAGCCAGATGCAAAACCTGGAGCCCTCCAAGAACAGGAGGGTACCCTTAGGGATCATAGGGAAGTTTCTATGTACATGTGTGCATATGGGTTAATCGGCTACTTGTTGTCAACGATTCTCTAAAGGTGAATTTGGAGAATGCATCATCTGACGAAACCGAAGTTTGACATTTGATGTTCACCCACGCTGGGGCTCTGGCTTCCGATTGGGCCTCCTAAACCCTAAATCCTAAACCCCTAAAGCTGCAACTGCCACAAAACCCCTGGCTTGAGTGTTGATATAGTGCCCTTTCCTTAAAGGGCTCCTGAAACCTAGGTCCGCGCAACCTCAGTGCACCTGAGACTCACTAGGTATGGTGAGTGGTTGACCTCATGAGAGCTCGTCTGATATGAGATTTGTTCCCGAGACCTAAACCCTACCCTAAACACTAAACCCTGGACCCTATCTTGGGTGATGCATGCGCTGACACATGAACTCCAAACAACAAATTCTATACCCGAGCCAACAACCCTGGCCATGCAGCACATTAAGCAGAGTGCCAAGCGTGAAACAGCATATATGATACTGCATATAATACGGGGCATATGTGTATATATCCATATATATATACATGTATACAGATTTTGTTTATCCAAGAACGGCCCAGAATCGTCTTACAACCCTGAGCCCCAGTAGACACTCTCCACTTTTCAAAAACCATTCATTTACAGGCCCAACCTCCATCTCCATCCAACGCTAAATAGCCAATCCTCAACTCTTGATCCTACGCCCTGAACCCTGAACCTCTGAATCCTCAACCCTAAGCCCTTCCCTCGCTGACCGCATCAAGCGTGAACTCTCCAACCCGTAATCTGGGAAGCCTGCGAAAATCCTCTAGCATTATCAACACCAGGGGCGTATTCCATATGCTGCTTGCAACACCACGTTCCCCAAACAATTCCAGTAGTCTTGATGTAGCAGACGCATGCAGAAATAGATTTGCGCATGCAGATTGCGGAGAAGTTCGTGATTGTCTCAAACATTCTTCCATGAGCGGAAATTCCTCCTTCTCCTGTCTATGTACTTGGTTCCAACAGCACGTGTACTAAACCGCAAAAATCGGAGCGTTGAATTAGATCCAAAACCTACGCCCGAAAGCCTACACCCATGCCAAAACATTGGACCTCAAACTTTGACCAAGTAACGCTAAGCCCTGAACGGAACCCACTGCCCCGAGCCCTACAAGCCCTGAACCGACTCTTATACGCCCTACACTGAATGCTCTGAACCCTAAACCCTTTAAGTCCCCTAAACCCTAAACTCTAAATCCTAAACCCCAAATCCTAAATCCTAACTCCCTAAACCCTAAATCCTGAATCCTAACTCCCTAAACCCTAAACCCTATAAGCCTATAAGCCCAGAGGTTCCGAGGTCCCCACAGACAGAACCGCCCGGCGACCGGCCGCTTGCTGACTGGGCGCCAAGAAGGCTGCCTGGCACGGCTTTGAGACATGAGCTTCAGGGTTTAGAGTTTAGATGGGGTACTTGGTACCTTTAAAGGGGATATAGGGTTATATAGGGGTTATAAAAGGTTACTTGGAGGGTCAGGGGGACTTAGTAAGTAGATTAATCGCCTCTAAAAACCATATAGTAGACCCAGTTATCTCTATTATCATCCTAGTTACTAAGTCCCGCTGACCCTCCAAGCAAGGGTTTAGGATGCTTTAGGGTTTAGACGGGGCACCTCGTACCTTTAAAGGGGATATAGGGTTATATGGGGATTATATAGGGTTTAGGGATTCCGGTTTTCCATGATGACGGAAAGTTCAGGATTCAAAATCCCTCTTTTAAGATGTAGAGTTTGGGGTGTTAGGGGCTGGTGTGTGTAGAGTCTTTGCGGGTTCAATTAGTTCCTTTGGTTTGCAAATCCGGGGCTTTGCGATCATCTTACTCCTTTGGCAATGAAAATTTGAGGTTCTTGAAGATTTGGAGACTCCGGGCGTTAGACGGTCTGGCTCTGCATTCTGCTACTGTTGTACTGTTGATTCTGAAGCCCCTTCATGACCCTATTACTTACCTTGGGAATCATGGCATTCCAGTATACACATCATGCGGGAGTTGTAGTATCAAACGTAGCAAGTGCCATGCGTTCAGGTATCTCAGACTCAGGGCAGGTGGTGCACCATTGGTGGTGCCCCCTGCTGGCTTGTTGAAAATTGCATGCCCCACTTGGAGGGTCAGGGGGACTTAGTAACTAGGCTGATAATGGAGATAATTGGGGCTACTATATGGTTTTCAGGGCTATTAACCTACTTACTAAATCCCCCTGACCCTCCAAGCACCACCTCCATTCCTAAAACTCAGCTTCCCTTACGAAAACGTTGAGAGCATGTTGCTCACCCGGGGAATATTGACTCTTGTGGAATCGGATTCGCGTTTCAACGGGGACTTTGAGATTCCATATTTTGCCTCCAGAAGCTGGACCATGCCGCATGGGACGTCAACATGAAGTCCCAAGTTCCTAAACCCTAAGCCCTGATATTTGAAGGCCTCCCAAAAAGACATAAACATAAGGATCCTGCATAAGGCTCTGGCTTTAAAGGATCCCTCCATAATCGGATTCTCCTTCAAGGGGGTTTTATAAGGGATAATATAGAGGAGTATTCCAGGGCTACCTCAGGGGGATACAAGGAGTTTAGAGTATAGCTCATATTACAGTAGTTTCCATTTGATTGTCCATTATCCCCAATGTAATCCCAATATAAAACCCAATATACTATAGTAGTTGCCATTTTCTTTTCCATTATGTGGTCTCTTGGGTCTCGCCTCTTTTCGGTCCTGTTTTCACCCATCAACGCGGGGGTTGTAAGAG